TACATAGTATGAACGCACATAGTCTTTTTCCCAGGGATGGGGAATTGAAAACTAGCAGGCATAGGTTTGAGGTGAGAAGGGAAAGCCTTAAGAAGGACCTGAGGGGCAATTTCTTCATACAGAGAGTGGTGTGTATATGGAATGGGCAGCTAGAGAAAGTGGTTGAGGCAGGTACAATAGCAACATTTCAAAAAAACATTTGGAGAGGTACTTGGATGGGAAGGGTTTAGAGGAATATGGACAAAATGTGGGCATCTGGAACTAGCTGAGTGGGCACCATAGTCAGCATGGACCAGTTTAGGCCGAAGGGCCTGTTTCCATGCTGTATCACTCTATAACACCCTAAAAGATTCTGTGATGCCTACCTACAGGACTCAGAAAGACCAAAGCTTGAAGGCATTTCCACTTTCCAGACATCAGCTAATTGACAAAGAAAAGTCTTTCATGTATCTTTTGTGACTGAACCAATGGAAATAGCAAGTGTTCCAAAGTTGTGTAGAATATCCATGAAATTGGAAGGCAGGAAGTTAGAATTTGTTTGTTAAAATAATAGTGGGGAAAAGCAGTACATGGTCTCTTTAGAAGACTGTGGTTTGTCTGTGCTTGTAAGTTTGCACAGAGAGCCCCATATTGAAACAAACATTTCAAAAAAGCCTTACAGTTGGCAGGCAAAACAACAATTTTGTTTTAACAAGGTGTAGAGCTGGATGAACACAGCAGGCCAAGCAGCATCAGGGGGGCAGGAAGGCTGACGTTTCGGCCCTAGACAATTTTGTTTTGATGTTTTGTATCAAGCTGAACTCAGCCAATGAATTTAAACCAAACACTCAGTGACTGAAAGCCAACTGCATTTACAATTGATAGCTTTGACAACCTGAAACCAATCATATTACAAGAAATTGATGTGTCATAGGGGGTATATAAAAAGGGGGCTTTAGAAAATCAGGGTGAGAATCAACTGCCATCTGAAGCGAAAGCAAATCCGCTATCTGAGAAATAAACCTAGCTCGCACACAAAAATCATTAAGGTCTCAAAAAAAAAGCACCAAAGGTATCGCAGCACTTCTAGCTAAGCGATCTCACAGAGAAAAAAATATCGAGTAAAAATCCCTGACAGCAACTTCAGCAAAAGAAAGGCTGGGGAGACAGTGGAGAAGGCAAAGCATTCCGGAAGACACATTCGATGTGATCTATGAGAGACTAAGTTTTAATTTACAGGTAGTTCTGCTAATAACGTGCGTTTCATTAATACGAATTGGCTGTAACGCTATTGATGATTAGTGGATGCTGTTTAGATAATGCAAACTTTCTGCTGTACAGGTATAGCAATTTTCTATAAGATCTCCCTATAACGCAATTTTGAACAGCGATTTTCAAGAGCGTGAGGTCGCACAGGAACGCAACTATCGCATTATAGGAGAACTACCTGAATTGTTTTCGTATTACTTGGATTTATGTAAGTGGGACGTGTATTTGTTGGAACAGCATAAGATTAGAAAATAGGCAGGAGTTAGAGGGGAATTGTTCAGTTGGTTAATAGTTCTGTTAATTTATTCACTGTTAGGGTGAAATAAATAAATTGTTACTTGTTCCTTATAAAGTGAGTATCAGGGATTCCTTTAATTTAACTACAATTTTAACAGATTACGAGGAGTAAGACAAGCTTCTCTGGGTGTTTCGGGTTTAATTTGTAGAAGGGAACCTCTACTCCTGCCATAGCAGTTTGGGGCTGGTGCTTCGGATGAATTATCCGAAGGGTTCAACCTTCCCCTTTTCCATAAGGCAAGTGAAGTTTGTGAGGAATTTTCACCAATGCAGGTTTAGGCACCTGAACAAGTGACTGCAGAGGGAACTGGACAAACATTAAGGGATATAAATGGTGACCTGCTGAAGGCACAGGTCCTAAATTGCACAATGCTGACAAGGATCTGTTGCAACTGTAAATTAAGAAATATGAGTAAGAGCAGAAGGTGCATTGAGCCTGCCGCAACCATATAATACAATTATGGGTGATTTTGAGGTTCAATCCCACTTTCCCGCCAGCTGCCCATATCTCTTGAACCCCTGAGGGAGCAAAACTCTGTCCATTTCAGTCTTAAATACATACAAGGATGGACTCTATCATGAGTGCAGAATTCCAATCATACAAAACCCTTTAGGGAAATTGGTTTCTCCCATCTCCGATCTAAATGATTACACACTTATCCTGAGAATGTGCACATGGCTTCTAGCTTCCCCAATCAGAGGAATCAACCTCAGTATCTACCCCGTCAAGTCCCTTCAGAAGTTTGAATGTTTCAATGAAATCATTTCTGATTCTTTTAAATCCCAGAGAAGAAAGACCCAAATAACTAATCATAGTGCAACCCACTTACCAAAGGAACCAATCTTATGAACCTTGACTGTATTGCGTCTAATGCAAGTATAATCTTCCTTAAATATGGAGATTCAAACTGCACACAACATTCTCAGTGTGGTTTCACAAAAATTCACAAAATTGGAGCAAGGCTACTTTATGTCTGTACTCCAATCTCCTTGCAATTGAGGTCAATTACTTTCTGTACCTTCATGCTAACTTTCTGTGGTCCTTGGGCAAGTATGCCAAGTCCCTCTGACCATCAACACTTACAAGATCCACACCTTTCAAATTATATCCTGCTTATCTATTCTTATGGGCAATGCCAATAACCTCACACTTTGCCATCATGTTACGGTATCTGGTACCCACAGAATTAACCTGCTTCTATCTCTTGGCATCCTCGTTGTTTCCTCATCACAGTTTACATTCCCATCTAGATTTATATCATTAGCAAACTTAGATGCATTGCTCTCTGTCTTTTGCCAAATCCATTAAAATAGATTGTAAATAGTTAAGGCCCCAGGAATGTTCCTTATGACTGTCCACTGGTCGTAATCTGTCAGGTTGAAATGTTTTTTTTCTCCTGACTCTCTGCTTTCTGTGTATTAACCAATCCTCTATCCATGTAAGTACACTGTAGCTTATTGCAGCATCTCATTTACATCACAAGTACCCAAGATGACACCATTAAAAGGCAGCCATTGTAAAAACTTTTCACTGTACTCCTATGCTTCTGTACTGTATTCTATTCTATTCCTGTCCTGCATCAGTTGTGATCCACAACTGTTCTGCACCTCTCGTTCAGAGAACTTATCATTGTATTTTGTAGGACCATATACTGCCCTTGGCCCTGTGATTAAGAGCATGCACTTTGGCATTCTATCCTTGTATGCATAAATTTATTACATATTAAAATTTTCCTTCCTTGTATTTGCTTTTTTTCCAAAAAGGAACACATGTTTCAAGCTTTTAATCCTCCCATTCCATTCTGGTAAAATTGAACCAGAAAATACTGGAAATGCTCTTATCTGCTGTTACTGATCCTATTCTCTCCAATGCCTTTAGCACCATTGACTATCGCATCATCCTCCAATGTTAGGAAACATTTGGACTAGAGTTTCACAGATGGCATTGGGTTCTGGTAAAATGTCCATTTAAAATCTTAGAACAATTGATTTTTATGAACCAAGTTATTGTGGAATTTGGATCAAAGACAGGTATCTTGAGCTGGGTCAAAGATCAGTCAGAATCTTCCTGAATGGGTGAACAGACCCCAGAGCCAAATCGCTATGTGGTTCCAATCTTCCAGCATTTTATCTCCCAACATTTGCCAGAAAATCCCATGTCTATATTCTCCACTCCTTATCTACTACCAACAGACGAGCCAATGCTTTCCTTGAGAGTAGAATCATTAATATCAACGGCACCCTCTTTCAGCTCCAGCAAAAATGTTTGTGCCTCAGCTTCTAATTTAATTCATTTTCCTGCTTGCCACATGCATAGTTTGTCCAGTTTAAATTCAATCATTCCACTCAGTTATATTCCAATGAAAGAGAAAAATTCTAAGGGATGCACTCATCAATTATGGTTAACTAAAAATATTTAAAGATACTATCAAACCTCAAAAAGAAGCATATGTTTAGGCAAAGATATGAAGGAGACAAAAATTAGAGTACAAGAGAAAACTAGCTAGAAATATAAAATCAGATAGCAAAAGTTTTTATAAATATTTAAAAAGAAATGTTAATCTGCCAAATTAATATCGGAAAATAAGGAGATGACAGATGAATTGAACAGGTATTTTGCATTGATTTTCATACAGGATATAAATAACATCCCAGAAATAGCTGCAAATCAGGAAATGGAAGGGAAGCTTGAACTAAAGATAATTACAGCTACCACAGAAGCAATATAAAATAAATTGTTGGAGTTACAGGCTGACAAGTCGCAGGTTCTGATGAACTTCATCCTACAGTCTTTCTAGTATTTTACTGGCTAGTAAAATAGTTGATACATCGGTTTTAATTTTCCAAAAGTCCCTTGATTTGGGGAAGTTTCCATTAGATTGGAAAATAGCTAATGTAACATATTTATTCAAAAAGGGAGAAAGAAAATCAGGCAATTGCATGCTAGTTAGCTTAACCCTTGTCATAGGAAAGGTATGAGAAGCTATTAAGTCGTATTGTAGGATACATAAATAATTTCAACATAAAAATGTGGAATCAACATGGTTGTGTGAAAGGAAATCATATTTAACCAACCTATTAGAGTGCTTTGAAGAAGCTGGAAATAAAAGGGAACTGATGGCTGTCCCATATTTGGATTTCCAGAAGGCATTTGATAAGGTAGAACACAGAGCAGTACAGCACAAGAACGGGTCCTTCAGCCCACAATGTTGCACCGAACAGGATGTCAAATTAAACTAATCCTTTCTCCCTATCCTTGGTCCATTTCCCTCCATTCCTTACATATTTCTGTGATGATCTAAAAGTCCCTTAAACGTCCCTATTTTATCTGCCTCCACCACCAACCCTGGAAATGTGTAGCAGATCCCTACCACTCTGTGCAAAAATTTTGCCCATCACATTAAATGCATGCCCCATACTACTAGACATTTCAACTCTGGGAATAAGATTCTAACCTCTGAAAATCACTGCCTGATCACCCTCCCTGCTTCGCAAAACAAAGAACTTTGGATGCTGGAGATCTGAAACATAAAAACAGAAAGTGATGAAGAAATTCAGCAAGTCTGGCAGCATGTGACCTACCAATACATCTCATAATTTTGTAGACTTCTATCAAGTCTCTCCTCAGCCTTCACTGCTCCGGAGAAAACAACCTGAATTTTTCTAGCCTCTCCTTATAGGTCACACCCTCTAATCCAGGCATCATCCTGCATCCTCTCTAAAGCCTCCACATCCTTCCTGTAATGTGGCGATCACAATTGAATGTAATACTCTCATGTGTAGCTAACCAAAGTCTTATAAGATGCCACATCAAAAGTTACTGCAAAGTGCTCATGGTGTAGGGGGTAATGTATTGCCATGACTAATGGGAAACATATTACCTATAATATGTTCCATTTTCAAGACTTTTCCTCCCCCATCGCTGTAGAATCACTGCCCTCATTCCTTCACTATTGCGAAACCCTGATTCCCTGTTTCATTACTGAAGAGAAAACGTTTACTAACATCAGCCTAGATTCTCCAACTCTACAAAGGTTTGAATGCCACAGCAATTTTCACAACATCCTGCATCCGTATCTCCCTAGTCTTTTTAAATAAAACCCAGGTAATCGACCTCAGGATCATTGTTCTAGGCTTCAAAACAGTCTGTGACAGTTCTACAGTTACAACCTCCTCAGACATACGTGGTCACACACACTCTTCCTCCAGCACCAACTGTCCTTCTTATTTTCAATTCTAACCAGCATCAGTAGAAGGCCACTAATTAACTCCCAGTAACCCTCTGAAACTTGTCCCCTCATTGCCCTTCCTGCTTCCACAAAACAAAGAACTTTGATTGCTGGGGTTCTGAAACATAAAAACAGAAAGTGCTGGAGAAACGCAACAGGTCTGGCAGCATGTGTTGAGCGATAAAAACTTAATGTTTCCAGTCCAGTAGCCAATTCTGATGAAGGCTCACTGGACTTGAAATGTTAACCCTTTTTTGCTTTGCCACGTTGACTTAAACATTTCTTTGTTTCTAAAACAGAAGAAACAAAATCCTTTTTGATTTTAAATGAGAGCCTTGTTTCAGGTATTTTCTGGGTACTGTGGAGTGAATGACTCCTGGAAGTGTCTAAGAGTACTGAATGGAGGGGTGTCTAAACAAAAAGAAAGGAAATCCTCCTTGATAATGCGATGAGGGCCTTATTTTATGGATGCTGTGGAATGAATGACTTCCAGAAGTGTCTGAGAATACTGAATTTGGACGGGCAGGGGGCAAGTAGAAGAAAGAGTTGACATTCTACCCATAATAATAAGGGTGACATCTCCTGTGCTCTGACCTGGTATGTGTGTCCTTTGCTGATGTATTCCTCCAATTGGTTACAGGACCAGACTTGGTAAATAGAAGCTCGAAACGAATCCTCGAGTTATTTTAATTTCACTGCAACATATTAGTAGTCACAGCCAGGTCTCCCTTCTCCCTGCTACTTAGAGACGGTCTCACACTGATTCTCTTCCCCCGGAAATTCACTCCCGACTGTGCTGCCCGACCAAAATTATACATAAAATCTGTAGATAAAACTTTATTTAGATGGATTCACGTTGAAATGATCCCCACCCCTCCCTCCCTCCCTCCGGGGGCTTTATAGATCGCGCTGTTTGAGTCGGTCCCAACAAGTTTCATTTCGTGCGAATTACTTTTCGTTCATGTTGCGAGACCGGACCCGCACCGACGTTACAAAGTTCCCCAGAATGGCGAAATGCGATGGATCGGTGGGTGGGTGGTCGGAGGAAAGGGAGAGATGGGGTGAGTTCCGCTCATTACGGAGGGAAGATACTTTACATATTTAAAATACGTCTCTCAAGCCGGAACCAACATTTTGGAGACAACAGGAAGAGGTCGGGGAGGGGACGGACGTTGCTATGGAGGAGGTTCCAGCGATGGAGGAACCGGTGGCGGCGGCGGGAGCAGGTAAACATTCCTCACATTGTTTATTTTTATTTGCTCATAAGACATGGGTGTCGCTGGCTAGGCCTGACATTTGTTGCCGCTCCCTCATAGCTCTTGAGGAGGACGAGGAGGTGATGGTGGTGGTGAGTTGAGTTCCAGGACTGTTGCAGTCCATGTGCTGTGGGCATATCCACAGATACCTTTTTAAAGAGAAGGTTTCAACCCATCACATTCCCCGCCTTGTGCCTGGTAGTTGGAACAAAGTCCTGCAAACCCACTGGTAGGACAGGCCACTTTAGTATCAGGACAATATCCAGGCGCTGGTTACAGTCAAAACCGAAAGAACTGCGGATGTTATAAATCTGAAACAAAAATAGAAACTGCTGGGAAAGCTTAACAGGTCTGGCAGCATCTGTGGAGAGAATCGGGGTTAATGCTTCGGGTTGAGTGACCCTTCTTCAGAACAGTTCCGAGGAAGGGTCACCGGACCCGAAACGTTAACTCTGTTTTCTCCTTCACAGATGCTGCCAAACTTGCTGAGCTTTACCAGCAACTTTGTTTTTAAACAGAAAAACCCTGGATACTGGAACTCTGAAACACAAACAGCAACTGCTGGAAAATCTCAGCAGGTCTGGCAGCACCTGGAGAGAAAAAGGAAGGGTTAACATTTCAGATCCAGTGCAGGGCAGAGGAAAAGCTGCTCCCTGATTCGTGGGAATTTCTAGCCAAAGCCCAAATTGGAGAAGTACCAAGTGCAAAGGAGCCAACTGCTTTGAGTGTCTAGCCCAGTCCCAGATGGAGGTCAAGTGTACGTAGCAGATGGAGCAGGAACTTGAGCATCCCAACCACCTGCACCTTTGTTCCCAGGTTTGTGGATCCAATATTGGTCTATTTATTAACCTCAGGATTAGAGTTGTGAGGGACTACCTAAGAAGAAAAGAGAGAGTAGATAGGTCAGAAGGTGATTTACTGACCTCGGACTCGTCAGCTTCTGACTCCCTCTTGTAGCTAGAGTATTTATGTGGCTGACAGAATCAGTTTCTGGTTAATGAGTATTAAATACCAATTCCCGCTCCCCTGGACATTGACAGTGGAAGATAAGAATATTACCTCTAGTATTTCTCCCACTTCACCGTCTGCAGTGCATTCAAGCTCCTAACCATATGCTGTATAAAGTTTTGCCTTGTGTCAATTTTGTATTATTTCTTACTAATAATCTTAAATCAGCATCCTCTGCTTTTCATTCCATCTACGTAGAGGAACAGCTTTTCTATGTTTACTTTGTTTACATCCCTCTATCAAATCTCTTTTTATTTACTCTGAAGAGAAACCGTTCTGACTTTTCCATTTGTCTAAATAACTCACTGAAGTTTATCATCCCTAAAACCATTCTTACAATTCACTTTTGCACTGCCTCTATTGCCTTTCATCTTCCTTTAAGTGTGAACAAAACTGGACATTATACTCCACATGAAGCCAAACCAGTATTTTATACAGGTTTGTCCAACCTACTTTCTTTCGTTCTTTATGCTCCTTATTACAAAGCCCTGGACTCTCAATGCTTTAATAACCAATTTCTCAACTTGTCCTGACACTTTTAATGATTTTTGCATATCTCTCTGTGTTACTGCACTAGAATTGTATCCTTTATCTTGTGTTTCCTTTCCCTATTCCTACTTCCACAATTAATCACTTCACACTTCTGCATTAAATTCTGTTTGCCCATTTCACCAACTTGACCATTTGTTTTTGAAGTTTACTGCTATCTTCTCAGCTCAGAATGCTTACAAATTTTGTTTCCTCTGCAAATTTTGAAATTGTGCTCCATATACCTCAATACTTCGTTTTCTGTCACTCGGCCACTTTTGTATCCCCATTATTACTGTTCCTTTCTCTCTCTGAACTTTAACTTTGCTGATAAGTGTGTTGTATATCACTTTGTCAAATGATTTGTAGATGTCCCATATACACAACGTCAGTAGTGTTGCCCTCATCAACTTTGTCAATAACTTCATCAAAAGATTCTCTTTGATTTTTCTCTTTGTAAATCCATTCCACTTGCTCTAAATATTATCCAAATTACTTAAATTTTCTCCCAAGATTACAGCAACCATCTCCGCAATTTCAAAATGAACAAAAGAGAAGTATGGCATAGGAACAGGCCCTTTGGCCCTTTAAGCCTGTGCCAATCATCGTGCCCTGACTAAACTTAAAAAAAAAACAAACCTTCTGCCCTTATTCAGTCCATGTCCTCTGTTCCCTCCTTATTCATGTAACCATCCAGATACCTCTTAAATGTCATCAATGTGCCTGCTTCCACCACCTCTGGCAGTGCATTTCAGGCTCCTACCACTCTCTGCATGAAAAATGTTCCCGACATATCTCCCTTAAACTTTTGCTCTCTCACCTTGAACCTGTGCCCCCTTGAAATTGAAACTTCAACCCGGGGAAAAAGCCTCTGACTATCCACCTTATATATGCGCCTCGTAATTTTGTAGACCTCTATCAGGTCTCCTCTCAGCCGCTGTCTTTTTCCATTCTTATTTACCTTGGATGCACATTTTCTGGTCCTATCCAAAATGGGCATTGGGTAAGTTTAAATTATGTTATCTATTCCCCTCTTAACCTTCAAGGTATTGTTTGATTTACTCCTTTCCCCTTTTACTCCTTTTGTCTTTCCGAAGTAGACCCAAGGGATGGTCCCCCAAGCCTAGCTTTCCCAACAAAAACAACGTACTGTGGATGTTGGAGATATGAAATAAAAGTGAAAAGTGCTTGGGAGATTCAGCAAGGTTAGCAGCATTTATCACACAAAAACAGCTACTGTTTCAAATCTGGTATGACTCTTCTCGGGAGCTGTGTTCAATTTTGGAAATAAATCCCCAGCAAAATAATTTAAGGTGAAATCGAGGATGGGGGTGTTTATTAACAAAATATTCAAAGTGCGTGTGAATTGCTTTACTACTCCATACATCCACAAAGGCACACAGGAAGCTAAGGAAGACGAGATATGTTATCAATTTCAGTTCTAGAAAATATGTATTTAAAAAAAAAATCAGATTACATAAATTATAACTTATTGGTGTTCAGTATCCAATAATACCTGCTTCCCTGAGCTGGGCCCAGTATTTTCCTCCTTGGAGTCAAAGTGTAGGCTTATTTTCAGCCACCAAGTTAGCATCTATTTTCAGGTATGCCTGCTGCTACTCTTTGCATGCTTTCCTGCACTCAGTGAACCAGGACTGATCCCATGGCTTGAAGGCAATGGCAGAGTGAATGGTAGAGTCATTGAAATGTACAGCGTGGAAACAGACCGTTCGGTCCAACTCATTTGTGCTGACCAAATATCCTAAATTCATCTAGTCCCATTTGCAAGCATTTGGCCCATATCCCTCTGAACTCTTTCTATTCATGTACCCACCTGGATGCCTTTTAAATGTTGTAAATTTACCAGCCTCCACCACTTCCTCTGGCAGTTCATTCCATACACACATCACCCTCTGCATGAAAATGTTGCCCCTTAGGTCCCTTTTATATCTTTCGCATCTCACCTTAAACCCTTGCATGGGGCAAAGACTTTGACTGTTTACCCTATCCATGCCCCTCATGAGCTTATAAACTTCTATAAAGTCACCCCTAAGCCTCCGATGCTCCAGGGAAAATAGCCCCAGCCTATTCAGCCTACCCCAATAGCTCAAACCCTCCAACCCTGGCAAATGGTGTGCCAGGTTTCATAGTTACAGATTGAGGTTGAATATAAGTCTACTACTTTGATACTCAGTGTCTCAGTAATGTCTGGTTATAAATTGAGAGGTCTGTTCAAACTCTGTCCTTTCCACAGTTGTTGCTGTTATGTATTACAATACTATAAAGGATTTTCAACAGGTGGATAGATGAAGGCATGTTCAAGAAGATTTTCACTCTTGTTGGTTCTCTTTGAATGACAGCATTAGGAAGCTCAGAGGAATCTTGGGGTGCTTGTCCACAAATCCCTGAAGGTGAGAGGACAGACTAATAAGATGGTTAAGAACTCATATATGACACTTGCCTTTATCAGTCATGGCATAGATTATAGGGACAAGAACATTACTGGAGCTGCACAAGAGTTTAATTAGGCAAAAACTGGTGTACTGTGTGCCGTTCTGGTCACTTTGTTATAGGAACGATGTGACTGCACTGGATGGGGTGCATAGGAGGTTCATCAAAATGTTGCCTGGGATAGACCAATTTAGATATGAAGAGAGACAGTAAGCTCAGATTATTATCTTTGGAGCAGAGGAGGCTGAGAGGGGACCTGATAGAAGTGTATCAGATTGAAGGACGTGAACAGGTTAGGTGGAAAGCAGTTTTTTTTTTATATAGAATCCCTATAGTGTGGAAACAGGCCATTTGGCCCAACAAGTGCACACCATCCCTCCAAAGAGCATCCCACCCAAACCCGTCTCCCTACCTCTGTATTTCCCATGTCTAACCCACCTAACCTAAACATCCCTGGGTACTTTGGACAATTTAGCATGGCCAGTCCACCTAATCTGCACATCTTTGGACTGTTGGAGGAAACCGGAGCACCCGGACGAAACCCATGCAGACACAGGGAGAATGTGCAAACTCCACACAGACAGTCGCCTGAGGCTGGAATCAAACCCAGGTCTCTGGCGCTGTGAGGCAGTAGTGCTAACCACTGAAGCACCGTGTCGCAGTTGTTCCCCTTATTTGTGGGGGTCAATAACCAGAGGGCAAAATTTTAATGTTTAAGATAGGAAGTTTAGAAGGGATTTGAGGAAAAGATTTTTCACCCGAAGGGTGGTTTGCATCTGGAATGCACTGCCTGGGTGGATAGTTGATGTGGGAGCCTTCATCGTTCCATGCCACACTTAAATGAGCACTCCGTTTTGTACATGATAAAAGTCTGTCTTCTTTTTTACCCAGTGCTGATCATTCCTAGACATCTGGTGTTCTCTGGGCTTGTTGCTCCTATATTTGACCTAAAGGGCACACGTTGGGCCTATACTTTCTTGAGT